TTAAGTTGAATGTTACCTAAATCCTCAATAACAGTGGTACAAATGTATTTCCCCAATCAAAGCTTGGAAGTAGTCAGTTCAGGTTGGTGTGAGGCCCTGGGTGTTTAGGGATGCAATCTCTTTTTATTTTCTTGTTCTGCCATTGTTTGTGTGTGGGGGGTGCTCTATTCCCCAAATCACCTCATGATCTAAGAACTTTATCAAGCTTCAGCCACCATGTCTACGCGTCAGCCGGCAGGGAAAGGAAGGGAGGGGAGGGGCATACTTTTTTGAAGTTGTACCTTCCGTGTTTCTTGTTCTGTCATCCAGAACTTAGTAAAATGGCTACTCTATTGGGAAATGTAATGTTTGTTCCAGGTATCCATATGCCTGCTCAGAAACTGGGGGTTCTGTTGCTATAGGAAAAGGGGGAAGGGATATTGGGGAACAAGTAGTGGTCTCTGCCATGCTCAGGCAGGAGTTTGAGAGGCCATGCTTCAATTTCTCAGAAAAGATGGTTTTTCATACTGAAGCGTACATGTGGAAAAGATGCCACTGCTTACATAAACTAACATTTTTTTCTTTTCTCCCCAAAATAATTTCCCTTCTAGCTTGTGCAAAAGGTAAATAGTATTCCTTTTTATTTACTTAAATCCTCACCTGTTTAGAGACATTACAGAAAAATCTTAAATCTGTGTATTCATTGTACCAAGGTATTTCCAAATGTCCAGCATTCCCGACTGAAGTGGTCTTTGCCTTGGACATGTCAAGTGATGTCTCCCAGCTGGATTTTGAGAGGATGAGAGGCATTTTATTATCTCTGTTGATGAAGATGGAAATAAGTGGGAGTAACTGCCCAACGGGTGCCCGAGTGGCCATCGTTTCCTACAATACCAAAACAGATTACCTGGTTCGTTTCTCAGACTACAAGGGGAAGCGTGCACTCCTGGAGGCTGTCAGGAAAATCCCCTTGGAACGGTCATCTGGCCACAGGAACCTCGGGGCCACCATGGCGTTTGTGGCAAGACACGTGTTCAAACGTGTGCGCTCGGGCCTTCTCATGAGGAAGGTAGCTGTGTTCTTCCAGGCAGGCTGGACCTATGATGCAGCTTCCATCAGCACAGCTACCCTGGAGCTTGGTGCAGTGGACATCATCCCTGCGGTCATCACCTTCACGGAAGAGCACAACCTCCCAGATGCCCTGCTGGTACACAAGGGGATCCACTAGTGGGCAGGGGGTTGGGAGTTAATAGCTGGTTCTTATTTCTCCACCAAGGACCACAGGAGGAGTGACAGTTGTTCAGAGGGAGAATTCCCCAGAAATTGATGTGTGTGCAAGGAGTGAGGGCTCTCAGTGTAGACTCTACTGCTTGTGTGACTCCTAATACCGAGTGGCCATTCTGTGCCTACCCTGTGCTACGTGCCTTGTAAACATTTTTAGTTAATGATTCCCAAAACCCTATAAAGTAGGTGTTATTGTTTATTTATATTTAAGGGATAAGAAAAGCAAGGCTTAGAGAAGTTAAGTGTATCATCTAGGGTCAAATATAAGAGCTAGATAGTGGCAGACTGATATAGTCTGCCTTCAGAGCCTGTGCTTAACCACTATACTAAACTTATCCTTGGGGGTCATAAACTGTAATGTTCTTTGTACTGGGATATAGTATACATACCCATCTAACAAAGTGGAAAAAGTGTAATGGTTTTAAGTGTACAGATAGATGAATTACAGATAGATGAATTTTTACATATGTTTAAATCCCTGTGACCAAGACGTGGTTCAAGATACAGAACCTATTCAGTATCTTATAAATTTTTCCAATCATACACTCCCCAGGGTAACTGCTCTTTGAGTTTTATCACTATCGAAATAGTTTTTGCCTGTTCTGAACCTACACATAAATTGAGTTATATAGCATGCACTCATTTCTATCTAGCTTCTTCCAATCAACATAATGTCTGTTCTCCTTGTTCATCACGTTGTGTATGTGGGTAATTTGTTCTTTGTTATTCCTGTGCAGTATGTATACACTGCATTGTATGTATACACTGCATTGTATGTATACACTGCAATTTATTCATTTATCTATTCTCCAAACTTTAGTTTTCTAATTGAAACCCACGAAGCACATTTTCATGGGCCATCTGGGATGATTTATCAAGAGGAAGGGTGATTCTGTTAAGATTTTCCAGGCTGCTTATGAATGTTAGGTTGAATCATGGGACATTGCCAATATTTAACCATTTTTGACCTGCAGACATCGAACTGTCACATGGTTCAACTTAATAGCTAATGAATTCAGCTGTGCCAGACCATTTAATTTTCTCCGAAGGTTGAATGTGTAGCAGAAGTGGTAGGTGAGAGATTTTGTTGACACAGCTGTGAAGATGCTTCTAAGAATCAATAGATGAATTTGTGACAGCTTGCCGACTATTGGGGAGGATGAACAAAGTATCTTGGGTTGAGAAACAAAGTTAAAATACAGAGGAGGATGAGTTCCTTGTTCACTGTTACATCCATTTTGCCTAGCAAGATGTCTGGGAAGGGGCATTCTCAATTACTTCTGGAATGGATTAATAGAGGCAGGGTATAAGAATTTAAATTAGAGATGTAGCTTTTGTATTTAGCTCTTCCATCAATAACGAGGTGCCTTTGGACAAGTCTTCACCTTTATGGATCTCACTTTGCTCAGCTGGAAAATGGAGAGAGGGTAGCAACTGTTTGTTATCTAGACTCCCAGCTGCAATTATCAAAGCATCTGTTCCTCAGGAAGACATTTCTTCAACATTTGGAGAGTGATTCCCAGGATGCAATTGTATCCCCGCCAGTGATCATTAGTGCTGCTCTCTGAGAGGGGATCCTGGGCAGCGGACAGTATTTGGATCTGATATACAGATGATCCTTTATCATGGTGTTCTAGCCCTGTTAGTTGCTTTACGTTCTGAGTAAAAGGATGTAATGGTATGTGAGAACTTGCTGGTTTGAATATACTTGTACTCCAGTTCTGTCATTTCTATCTGCTCTCCTTTTCATTTTTTGGACACACTCTTGCTGCAGGATGCTGGGAGACAACTCTGTGTTTTTAAGTTTGATGGTTTAGAAAGGATGTTAAATGTTCCCTGCCAGTTCAGATGTAATGAATGACCTCATTTCTGGTGACATTGGTAAGAAGAAAAACCATAAAAACAACAATGACATTCTCAGGGCCTTTCAGAAAAATCCTCATTTCTTCACAATTGGGCATAGTGGAGCCCTTAACCTCCCCCACTCTGTGCCTTAGCCTTACAGGAATCCAGTTAGGAGGGTGGAAATAGCCTGTGAGTTTTCTTCTGAATTCCCTGCCTGAAGATTCTCTTTGATTATGTGTGGGGCTTTTGTCTTTCACCTCTATGATATTTTAATTTTCAGAACAACACCCACATGATTCTTCTGGGGAAATGATGTTTGTTCAATTTGAAATGATGATATAAACAGATGTCCTAACTTCTCAGTCCATTTAAACACACTCAGAGGCTGTGGTGCATACTGAAAAGATTTTTTAAAAGCCATCCATTGAGTTGTCTCAGCCCTAAATAAAACTGCATTATAGCATTTGGACTATCTGTGCCTAATCCCATTGATAAGAACTAATTGCTTTATGTCTCGAAACATAAGACTTCATTAGATTCATTTTTTAAAGTGAAAAAGCAGAGGATTATAGGGAAAATGCAATTTGTGTGCCAGGTTTCAAATTTTATTTTTCTTCATAAAAGGTCTAGCACATGTTCCCTTGAAACAAAGCCTAAGAAAATAGCTCACATTTATTGATCCAGGCACTGTTCTAATATCTTATTGACTCATTTAATTCTTACAACAGCTCAACAAGGTAGGTATTATTATGAGCTAATTTTTCAGATGATGAAACTGAGACACAGAGAAGTTAAATAACTTGCTCAAAGTCTGAAATTCCCACTAGCAATGGGATTTTGAGTCAAAGGGTCAAAAACAGGAAAAGAAGATACTTTAAAATTTCAAGTTCTTTCCCTGTATTTATGCATTTTATCTTTACAATAACAGTGAGACGTGTTTCTGAACTGGCCCTATATCTATTCCTGTGTATTGCTCTCAAAAAAAATATCCAAGGAATAGAGTGCTGTCTATCATGGGGAAAAAAATCACCTTTAGAAGACGAAAATATTAAGACGAAAACCAAAGACAGTTTCAGATAATTTTTAATTTTGGTGTAATTTCAGAATGCAGAAAAGTTACAGTAGGATATTCTTTCTTATTTTTATTTTTTTGGGACAATCAAAATATATTTATTTTATTTTTAATTGACAAACGATAGTTGCATATATGTATGAGGTACAAAATGATATTTTGATACACATATATACTGTGGACCGATCAAATCAGAATAATCAGCATACCTATCACAAGCTGAGGACATTTGTTTTTGAAGGGCAGTATTGTGTTACTGAGACAGGCCCCTTCAGCAGCCTTAGAGGACCTGCCACTGAAGCCTGTGGCTGCTGTGTTCTGCATTAGATTGTTAATGCCCTAAGGCCAGGACCAGCCACCAACGGAAGGATTTAGGCAATGAGGCTCCAAATGCTGCCTTTGTTCCTTATGTAATTCGGGCAGGTTATTTGACATTGAGGCCTCAATTTATTCCCTGTAAAGTGGGGGTAAACTCAAAATTTTGTTGTGAGATTATAAGAGATAGTGTTTAAGGGACATCTGACACTTTCTATGTGTATACTTAATGTAGGTCCATTGCCATCTTCTGGATGTCCTTAGAAATGCTGTTTGCTCTGTAACTATTTATTAAATCTGATGTCTTCATTTCGTGAGTGCCTATGAAGCTTCAGCTCCCATGCTACATGCTTTCATGCCTTATCATCTTAACCCCTCACTATTGAAAATGTGGTCCAGAGACCAGCAGCAGCAGCGTCACCCAGGATGTGAGAAATGCTAAATTTCAAGCTCTGCCCCGATATAATCGTCAGGATCTGCATTTGTAACGAGATCCCCAGATGGTTTGCATAAACGTTAAAGTTTGAGCAGTGTTGATCTAAGCCTCGTAGCTATCCTACAAGTTAATAATGATAATCTACATTTCCCAGATGAGGTAAGTGAGGGTCAGAGGTGAAGCGATTTGTTCTAAGCGACATAGTCCTGGAATTTGCACTCTGATATGTCTGGTTCCCAAGTCCCACTCTGCAACCTACACCCTCAACTCAATACTGACCCCTAATGTTTTCTGGGGAGTCCAAGGAGAGTCAGCTGCTTCACAGCAGTCTTTGGTGGGACCATGCCAACTGGCAGGAGCTGAAACTGGACTCCAGCTCCTGGGGTCAGTCACAGGTTACATGGCTACTCTCTCCCTGTCTCCTTCCCCCAACTTTTCCCAGTTTTCTTTCCTTGTTTCCCAATCTCTTACCTCAACTTGATGCCAGATGGTTTCTAACTCTCTCTCCTTAGGGTCCAGTTAGCTCTTCCTCTGCTCAAGGAAAATCCTGCCCCCTAGCATTTGCTTTTTCCCCTTGACTCCCATCTCTCCAAGCCAAGAGCCTCCCCCAGCTTGGTCCCAGGAAAGAACATTGTTCCACGGCCTTTGTCAGTCAGCTCAGCACAACAGTTGATGTATTGAATTAACCCATGGATCTCTCCAGCTCAGGGATCATGGACAGTTCTTTACTACTGGGGGGCTGAGTTTTGAGGGTCATCCTTGTATTCCTTGAAAAAATGTCTTTCTGTCTATTAAACAAGGAAGGATGTTGATGTAACCCCCCCCAATGCCATATCCTCTCTCCTCAATATACTCCTGTCTTTAGTACACAACTAGTCCCCACAAACCACAACTGGACATTTAGCAATGAAGTTGGTTGAAGGAATTGCCAAAGATGCTGATTCAAACTATAGTAAAACATTCAGCCTCAATTTCTTGGGTTGTGTTAAAGGTATTCCACTTTTGGCATTTCCTTCTCTGGTGCTGATGAGAGTTTGCAGTAGGAATCGTATAGCCAGTTTTCTCCTCTCTTCACACTGGGCTTCCCTCCTACGCTATCTCTCTGTTTGAACTTTTTCAAGAAGTATCTTGTCTACTTTATCAGTGACAAGGACCAGGCTGGCAAGTCCAAAGTCAATGTAATTACATGTTTATTAGTGGCAAGTAGGTACAAATGAATCAATACTGAATCATAGTTTCCCTATGGACTTCCACTGTGTTTTTGTGTACTTGTTCCCACATTTTTTTTGCAAGAACAGTACAAATTTTAAGCATGATCATAACATTATTGTTCCCAAGAAAAGTTCAAAAAAAGCTATTCAAATTAAGTTGAATTTGGTAGTTTTCCAGCAAGCAGAACAACAGATGGAAGAGTTACGTGCTCTGAGCTGCTCAGAGTAGAAAAGGTGACACGTCCTGAGCAAGAAGCCAATAACAGAAGACAGTAATTAATCTAGGACAAGGCCATGTGGGAGTAGGAAGAGAACTAAGCATCATTGACTCCTACCTAAAACTGTTGCTGAGGAATTTGAAGCCAGAGGTGTATCTAAGTCCACATAGCCAGTTATGGCAGAGCAAGGACTAGGATCCAGGTTTCTGACCCTAATCTCTTAGTGCTGCACAGAACTGCATGAACCATCTGTAAGACAGAGGAGTATGAATTTGTGCAGACTTGGAGGAATGTCTAGATTTCTTTGAAGTCTTTCAGACTATTTTAAAAATCCATACTTTATGACATACTTCACCCATGTTTCCTGTGACTTAAAAATAATGTACACTAACAGCGTTTCCCCACAACTCTTGGGGTAAAATTGATGCTCCTAGGGTAATCTCAGCTTCCTCATATCTCCTGACACACTGCCAAGGATCTTGGTTTCAGAAGCCTTCCAAATTGCCTCATGTGATTTCCAGTAAAGCTAGTGATGTGTCATTTCCTGCGTACACTGTTTTCTCAAGTCTTGGTGATTAATTAGGCCCATTTGGTTTGGTTAATACTCAGATCTGACGATCATGTGAGGTAGATCTGCATGTTGAATGCTGGAACTCTGCACTCACTCTTCATGCCAGCTTGCTCCTGTGGCACGGAGTTCCAGGGTTTCAGATGTGCTGTGCAGCTGCACGTTGGAGGTGGGTGTTCTCTAATCTGTGGGGAGTAAGGACTTTGAGCAGAATTCCAGAGATAAGCACTGTCCACCTCTGGGCCTTCGTACATGCTGTTCCTTCACACTGGATTGCATTTCCCTGATTCTTCGCCAGTTAAGTGTCTTACTCATTCTCTCCGAAGCGCCAAATACCATTATCTTTATCAGATCCCCTCTGTCCCTTACCCTCAAAATGGATCTTGTCTTCCTGCATTCCTAAAACATATTATTGGAGCTCTTTCTTATTTGAAAATCATTTATCTGTCCTCCCACATATGGTTTAAGCTCTTTGAAGATGTGGCCGTGTCATCTTTGTGTCTCCACGTGGCTTGTCAAGACTTTCCTGTAGTAGCTGTTTAATCAGTCTGGTTGATTTGAATTTCTAAATCAGGAAAAAGCATAATTTGAGGTTGCTTTTGCCATATGAGGAACAAGACAGGATGCTTTTTGCTTTTCTTCTCAGGAATTTTTTGTCTTTCTCTTAGGAATGTTCCCATGTTTCTTTTGTGTGTGTGTTACATTAGCATAAACAAACATTCAGCTCTTCATAGTTCTTTCCCCACTAGCTGACTCTGAAAGACAATGTTCATGATGATATGCTACAGTCCCAAACATAAAGAGTGAAGAGCTCTGTAATGAGTATATGTTACAGAAAATTCTTTTTCAAAGTAACCCTTGACGAGCATGACATGTTCATATCCTGAGGGCTAACATGACATCTTCATATCCTCAGCACCTTGCTACCTAGAGGAGGACCCAGAACCTACTTGTTCCTGGCCACACAGATGAAGGAGGAGAAGCTGACCCTCACTGTGGCCCTGTCCTGCATGCTTTGAGAGACAGAGTAAATAAAAGGATAGACATGACTGAGCTTAGACATCCACCTCTTTGCAAACCTCACCTCACTCTTGAGAGAAATAGTCTGAAAGCATTTCTGGTTTCACCATAAGGTAGTAGTGCTGCAAATAGTCTGTACCAGTCAAGGCAGGTTAACTGTGAAACCATTCCTCCCCGCATCTCAGTGGCTTGACACAATGAAGGGCTATTTCTGCCATCTGTCACAGGGGAGTGTGGGCCTTTGTGTATATGTGTGTATGTGTGGGGGGGAAGGCATGTTTTGCTGCATGCAGCTATTTCAGGAAGTGGGCTCCTTCTATCAGTGTCCCCATTACCCCAGGGCCTCAAAACCTTTTCCTGGATCCTCTACATCTGTCTGGCAGATAAGAGGGAGCAATGGAGTATACTGCATGCACTGGAAATTGCATACGTCACTGCTACGTACATCCCACTGGCTAGACCCCAGTCACTTGGCATCACCTAAACTGCAAGGGAGGCTGGAAATATAGTCCAGCTGCTGGCCTGGGAAGAAGAGGGAATGGGTTTGTTGATCATCCAACTAGTTGTCCCATGGACCTTGTTGGATTTATTATTATTAATATTTTGCTTTTAAGCCTCATTATCAGTGATTAAATGAATCATAATTGGAAAGCCTAAGCGAAGGAGATAAACAGATTTGCCAGCTCTACAAAGCCTTTCCTGATTCCTCCTTACTCTTACCTTCTGGTTGTGCCACGTCCAGCTCTGCACACCGGGAATAGTCTAGAGGGGCCTCCCTCATGGTGTCTACTTCTTTCCATTCTAATGGCGTATGACCTAATGACCACACCCTTGAAGAGTCTGCCTTTCGTATTAATAGCTCCCACCACACTGCATCCTGCATCCTGTGAACAATTCTTAAGGATTTATGGAGTTTATAAACTCCATAAATAAGCTTGACCCTTTATCTCCTAACCCCCATTCCAAAACAACATGACCCTGGCTGAGTTTTACACATGTTGGGAGTCTGAAGACCGACACTTCATGATCCCACACCAATGACAGCCCAACGCCCAGGTTAGAATTAGAGAACTAAATGACTATAAATAACTGTACTATATCATGCCGAACTAACTGTACATATATTTACCTAATTATATATTCTTTTAAGATCTCATATTACTGTTTTTCTTATCTGAATTGGAAAAAACATGAAAAACATAGCCTGAAATCAAATCCAGCTAATCATAAACGTGTGTGTGTATGTGTTTGAATCAGATGGACAGCAGATTTCACTTGTTCCCCTGGGAGACGGAGCACCAGCAGGATGTGGAGCACATGGCTCGCTGCACTCTCTGCTACGGTAAGCCCGGACAGCCCTCAGGTCAGGATGAATTGACTGGTGGTGACAGGCCAGATCTGCTCTGCAGCTGTGTATTTACTTGGCATGTGCAGGGCTCTAAAATCTGGGAATCTCCCAAGTCAGGATTTCCAGTTTTTCTTAGGAAGTCAGACTTGTCTTGGGAGTCACAGACATTGCATTCCTGTGGGGCCACAGTCAGCAGAGCTGAGTTGTGCCTGACCCCCCTTAATGGGGCGAGTGTCTGCTACCGCTCCACAGTCCCTGCTGTCCCCATTGTCTTCCTCCTGGCCTACTCTGCTCACTTGCCTGGCCTGCTAGCCTCCTGGGGATGGCTGGGCTTGTGGGTCCTGCCATAGTGTGGTGGACAGACCACTGAACTAAGAGTTAAGAGTTGTAGGTTCCAGGCCTGGACCCACTATTGACCAGCAGTGGGACATAGGCCAGTAATTTGGTCTCTCTTGGTCTCCAGCTTCCATCACTGTATCCCACATCCCACACTAACCTGTGCTGGAGAGAACTTCCTGCTGCAACCTCTGAGTGCCCGCATGTGAAGAGCTCCTGTCTATGCACACTTCACCCAGGGCCAGAGTCATGATTTCAAGACGGGATCTCATTGTTCCCTCTCCTTGATCCACACCAAGACCTAGCACAGCCACAAGAGATTTGGCTGTGATAACTCAGTCAAGCCAGGCACAGTAACTGTCATTTGAAGAGTATGTCACAGTTGATGAAGTGCTTTCACATCCATCTCTCATCTGACACATCTCCCCTCTGGGCCTCAGTTTCCTCTCCCATAGGAACATAAACCCAGCTAGTGTTTATTAAGCTCTCACTGCCCATCAGGCACTGTTCCAAGCACTTACATATATATTAACTCATTTTTCATTTAAACCTCACAAACAATTTCATAAGGTAAGTACTATTATTATTATTACCTCTGTCTGACAAATAAGGAAGCTGAGCCTCTGGGGAGGCTAAGTGATTTGCGCAAGATCACACACTGACTAAGGGATAGACGTGGACTAAACCAGGCAGTCTGGCTGCTGAACTCTTGACTTCAACCTCTGTGCTGTGCTCATGCACCAAATTAGGAGTTTTAAACCTTTTTTGGTATTTTAGACTCCTTTGGCATCTGGATAAACCTATGATCTCCTCAGAAAAATGTTTCTCAATGCACAGAATAAAATACAGAGAAAAATAATTACATCAAAAATATATTATCAAAATATTAAAATTTTTTGATGTAGTAAAATATATGCTTTTTAAAAAACTTTTATTTCTTTTTCGCTTTAAATAACAGGCTTGTTCTCTGAAGTAATACATGTGCCTTAAAAATCTTTAAAAAACTTTTACTTGACAAATAATAATTGTATACATTTATGGGGTACAATGTAATGTTTCAATACATGTAAACATTGTGGAGTGATCAAATCAGGCTAATTAACATAACCATCGCCTCAAATACTTATCATTTCTTTGTAGTGAGGACATTTAAAATCCACTCTTTTAGCTATTTTGAAATATACATTATTTTAAATTATAGTCACCCTACTGTGCAACAGATCACTGGAACCTATTCCTTCTGTCTAATTGAAACTTTGTACCCTTTGACCAATATATCTCCTTTCGCCATCCACTTCCCTGCCCCCACCCAGCCTGTGGTAACCACCATTCTGCTCTCTGCTTCTGTGAATCTGATTTTGTTAGATTCCACATGTAAGTGAGGTCATGCAATATTTGTCTTTCTGTGCCTGGCTTATTTCACTTAGCATAATGTCCTCTAGGTTCATCCATGTTGTTACAAATGACAGAGTTTCCTGCTTTTAAAAGGTTGAATAGTATTCCATTGTGTATATATACCACATTTTAAAATCCATTTATATATAATGTGCTTCTTTATTAGCATAATAAATGATAAGATCTAGTAGAAAGTCTAATTACCATTATCTAAAATAGTATTGAGTGCAAATAATATTCAACTATTTGCAACAACTGTAATATGATATGGAAATCAGCGATTTTTATTTTTTATGTATCACTAGTATTATAGTAGTCTGTTGTCTTTATGCATAATGAAAGGAAATGCTAAATTTCATTTCAACAGAAGTGGCGAAAATAAAGATGTAATTTTTTCCCCATCCTAGTTCACAGACCCCTTGGGGGACTGTGGCTCCCAGGTTAAGAATGTCTGCTCCCACCAGTTCTAAATGAAACAGTTTACCCCAGAAGTGGGTCACTAACGCCATTGTTCATCAGAATACCTGGGGTACATTTCAATTACAGATTCTGAGTTCCATCCCAACCCTACCAAACCAGAATCTTTGTATGGATAGAGCCTGAGAATATACATAAAAAAATTCTACACATCATTCTGATGTTGAGCCACCTTGAGAACTCTCAGACTGTGTTATTAGGCTGTCATTTAAAATTGCCAATATTTGGGCACGGGTGGAGCAATATGGCCAAATAGAGACCTGCAGTGATCATCCCTCCACATGAACAGCAAATTCAACAACTATCCATGTAAGCAGGTTCAGAAGAACCAAAAATCAGGTGAGTGATCATACTACCTGGTTTTAACATTATATCAAGGAATAAGGCACTGAAGAGGGCAGAAAAGACAAGTCTTGCATTGCCTATGCCACCTGTCCCCCATCCCCCAGAAGTGCTGCACCAGACAGTATAAAACAGAGATAGACAGTATAAAAAGACATGGGTGGACACAATAAAATGTTAAAAAAGGGGGGCATGGAGTTAAAGGGTAGAATTTCTGTTAGATTTCTCTTTCCTTGTTTATTTGTTTGTTTGTGAGTAGAGCTGTCATATGTTTAAAATAATTGGTTGTAAAATTGTTTTGCAATCCTCATGGTAACCTCAACTAAAAAGACCTGCAACAGATACAGAAAAAAGAAAAAACCAAGAAATTAAAACACCCTACCAGAAAAAAATCATTTTAAACAAAGGAAAATAGGAAGGGAAGTAAGAAAGAAAGAGAGGAAGACAAAAACCAGAATTCAAATAACATGGCAGTAGTTAAGTCCTTACCTATCAATAATAACATTGAATGTGAATGGACTAAACTCGCCAGTCAACAGACATGGAGTGGCTCAATGGATAAAAAATCAAGAGCTAACTATAAGTTGTCTGTAAGAAACCCAGTTCACCTATAAAGATACACATAGACTGAAATAAAGGGATGGAAAAATACATTCCATGCTAATGGAAACCAAAAAAGAGCAGTAGTAGCTATACTTCTATCAGATAAAATAGATTTCAAGAAAAAAACTATAACAAGAGACAAAGAAGGCCATTATATAATGGTAAAGGGCTCAAGGGCAAGAGGATATAAAAATTCTAAATATATATGCACTCAACACTGGAACATCCAAATATATAAAGCAAATATTATCAGAGCTAAAGAAAGAGATAGACCCCAATACAATAATCATTGGAGACCTCAACACTGCACTTTCAGCATTGGACAGATCATCCAGACAGAAAGTCAACAAAGAAGCACTGGACTTAGTCTGCACTACTGACCGAATAGATCTAATAGAGATTTATAGAATGTTTCATCCAACAGCTGCAGAATTCATGTTCTCCTCAACCCATGGATCATTCTCAAGGACAGATCATAGGTTAGGCCACAAAACAAGTCTCAAAAAATTCAAAAAAATTGAAATCGTACCAAGTATTTTCTCTGACCACAATGGAATAAAACTAGAAATCAATAACAAGATGGAACATCAGAAAATATACAAACACATAGAAATTAAACAATATACTACTGAATGGCCAGTGGGTCAATGAAGAGATTAAGAAGGATATTAAAAAATTTCTGGAAACAAATGAAAATGAAAACACAACATATCAAAACCTATAGGATACAGCAAAAGCAGTAATAAAAGGAAAGTTTATAGTGCTTACATCAAAAAAGCAGAAAAGCTTCAAATAAACAACTTCTTTTCTGCATCTCAAAGAGCTAGAAAAACAAGACCAAATAAACCCAAAATTAGTAGAAGAAAAGAAATAATAAAGATTAGAGCAGAATAAATGAAATTGAAATAAACAAAAAATACAAAAGATCAATGAAACCAAAAGTTAGTTTTTTAAAAAGATAAACAAAATTGACAAACCTTTAGCTAGATAAATAAGAAAAAAACAGAGAAGACCCAAATATGTAAAATGAGAGTTGAAAAAGGAGACATTACATCTGATACTGAAGAAATACAAGGGATCCTTAGAGACTACTATGAGCAACTATATGCCAATAAATCGGAAAACCTAGAACACGTGGATAAATTCCTAGACATATACAACCTACCTAGATTGAACCAGGAAGAAATCCAAAACCTGAATAAGCCAATAACAAGTAATGAGATTGAAGCAGTAATAAAAATTCTCCCATCAAAGAAAAGCCCAGGACCGATGGCTTCACTGATAAATTCTACCAAGGATTTCAAGAAGAACTAATACCAATCCTACTTAAACTACTCCAAAACATCAAGGAGGAAAGAATACTCCCAAATTCATTCTATGGGACCTGTATCACCTTGATATGAAAGCCAGACAAAGGCATAACAACAAAAAAAGAAAACTATAGGCCAATGTCTCTGATGAACATAGATGCAAAAATCCTTGAGAAAGTACTAGCAAACCAAATCCAATAACACACTGAAAAGATTATTCATCATGATCAAGTGGGATTCATCCCAGGAATCCAAGGATGGTGCAACATACACAAATCTATCATGTGATACATCATATCAACAGAATGAAGGACAAAAAACACCACTATACAGTATGGAGGTTCCTCAGAAAACTAAAAATAGAACTACCATATGACCCAGCAATCTCACTGGTAGGTATATATCAAAAAGAAAGGGAATCAGTGTATCAAAAAGAGATCTCCACTCCCATGTTTATTGCAGCACTATTCACAGCAGCCAAGATTTGGAATCAACTTAAGTGTCCATCAATGGATGAATGAATAAAGAAATTGTGGTTAAATATACAATGGAATATTATATAGCTATAAAAGAGTGAAATCCTGTCATTTGCGACAACATGGATGGAACTGGAGAACATTATGTTAAGTGAAATAAGCCAAGCACAGAAAGATAAATATCCCATGTTCTTACTCATATGTGGGAGCTAAACATTAAAACAATTGATCTCATGGAGACAGAGAATAGAATGATGGTTATCAGAGTCTGGGAAGGGTATCGGGGAAGGGGGGAAAAAGTGGTGATGGCTAATGGTGCAAAAATATAGTTAGATAGATAGAATGAACAATATTTGACAGCAGAACAAAGTGCTATCAAATAGCAAAGACTATTCTCAACAATAAATTAAGGTTTACTTTAAAATAACTAAAAGAGTGGAATTGGAATGTTCCTAACACAGAAATGCTAAATGCCTGACATGATGGATACCCCAATTACCCTGATCTGATTAATTCACATTGCATGCCTGTATCAAAACTTCACACGTACCCTATAAAGATATTCAACTATTATGTACCCATAATAATTAAAAAAATTAAAAATAACTGCCATTATTTGATTTTTAAATCCTAAAAAATGGCAATTTCATATGACTGTTAAGATCATTCCCACCTCTAGCAATCAATGTTTTCATGTGGTTTCCCAGGCATCGTTCACTACTGTTGATTTATCTACTGTACTTACATTACTAAGTACAGTATGATTCTTTTTTTGTAGGGAGAAAGGGGACTGATGTCTGTGAACCCAGTGATTGGGAAGCCATATGGCCTAGTAGTTAAAAACATTAAATGTGCAATCAGTCTCAATTCTTTCTTCCAAGAAATGGGCTCGTGTACAGTGCCCATCCGCTTGCCACGTCAACGGAATGGCTGGCAAACAGCGCTCAGCAGCAACTATCTCCTTATTGGAGTTTGGACCTGGGTTTTGTATGGAGAAGAAAGGTATGCATAGTTCAACCCCCGCCTTCCCGTGTGTTTCCTCCCCAGACAAGTGCCGACCGGCTCCGGAATGCCGCAGGCCCTGGCCGCAGGCGGTGGATGCGGACCTGGCGTTTGTGGTGGACAGCTCCCAGGGCGTGGGCGCCCACGTGTACCGCGGGGCCTTGAGTCTGGTGGACGCCGTGCTAGACGACCTGGAGGTGGCTGCGCAGCCAGGCGTGTCGCGCGATGGGGCGCGTGTGGCCCTGGTGACACACACGACGCCGGGCTTCTGGCCGGGCGGGGGTCGCTCACCTGTGCTTGAGGGCTTCCGCTTGACCTCCTACGGTCACCGGATGCAGATGCAGAGACACGTCCGTGAGGCCGCGGGCCGCCCCCTGCAGGGAGCCCCCGCCCTGGGCCACGCCCTGGAGTGGACGCTGGAGAAGGTGCTCCTGGCGGCCCCTCTGCCGCGGAGGGCACAGGTTCTCTTTGCCATCGTGGCCAGCGAGACAAGCAGCTGGGACAGGGAGAAGCTATGGACCCTGTCCCTGGGTGCCAAGTGCAAGGGCCTCACCCTGTTTGTGCTGGCCATGGGCCCCGGCGTGGGGGCCCGTGAGCTGGCCGAGCTGGCCCACGTGGCCAGTGCCCCCTCTGAGCAGCACCTGCTGCGCCTAGGAGGGGTCTCGGAGCCGGAGGTAGCCTACGCCCGGGGATTCACGCGAGCTTTCCTGAACCTCCTAAAAAGTGAGCAGTCCCCGAATACTGAGGTACCCTGGGTGGGGTGGGAAGAGGAACCTACAGAACCTGGTATTTGGCCAGGTAGGTGCCCATTACACTTTCACCCTTGCGGAAGTGCGTGCGGCTTGGTATCCCTGGGGAATGCCAGGGACCACCCCATTTCCTGAAAACCCTGCACTATCATTGGCCTGACATTGTGCTAGGCCTAGTGTTGGTTTCTTGTCCTGAACCTCTCATCTGGTGGCTGGGAGCCTCAGACCCACATTCAGTTCAGTAGGTCTGGGTTGGGGCCTGAGATTCTGTATTTCTTACCAGCGGGAGAGTGATGCTGATGCTGCTTGTCCGTGGACCATGCTTTAAGTAACAAGAGTATATGACATTTATTTCAAAATAGGGGTTAACATGGCAGTGTGGGGTCAGAGATCTTCAGGGCTTACCAGGAAGTAAGGGACACAGGACAAAAGTCCAGGATCTCCCACCCCAGGTTAGATGGATGAAGCTAATAGCAAAGGTTAAGGGACAAGGGCTGTGTCAGTGTGTCCTAGCCAGAATGCGTCCCCATCCCCCAGCCCTAGCATCTTCACTTCCAATCATAGAGGTGATTTTCTCTTAGAACTAGTTGAATTAAATTCATGGGCAGCCAGTACCAAATCTATATCCCTAGTGTGATAATGGCGATTTAGAATTGAGTTGGGGAGGGTATTATCTAGCAGTTTGTCTTGGGCTTCGTCCTTCAGTGCATAATTCAAAATGACTCATGTGCCAGGTGCTTTGTTGTAACGTGAGGCCTCCTTGCCCTCCTTACTGGAAGACATTAGTTTCTCAGTTTATAAGTGGTTGTGCCACCCCATTGGGGATCTTGAGGGACATCTGCTCCATCATCACTAAAAGAATAAAGGGAGTTTGGTGGACGTCTTTGAAGTACTGACACAGTGTTTATGTCTCTCCAATTTGAGAGGTACAAAGATCAGTGAATTGGTTCTAGTCCCAGGTCTGCTGCTAGTGAGCTGTACGATCCTAGAAAAGTCAGCGAATCTCTCTGAACTTTAGATTCCTTATCTTTGCAAGGGATGGTAGAGAGAATGGTAATACATGGCTGATGACTCAGTGATTCTATGAGGAAGAAGCAGGCTGGCTGAAGGAATCACTTTACTAATCTGATTTAACTTAATTTTACTTTCTTTTTTATGTTTTATTATGTTAGGTTGTATTTTGTGTTTTGTTATATTCTTTTATGTTGTGATTTTATTTTATATTGTTTATGCAATAGGATACATTTTATATTTTTATTGTTATTTTTTTATTTTGTTTTATTTGCTTATATTTTTATATTTATTTTATGCTTTATTTGAATGTATTTTATATCTTTTTGATTTTATGTCTCCCTGGATTTTTTTGTTCTTAATGTTCTGTTTACTTTTATTTTTATATTGTTATATTTTTATTTTATTTTGTTTCATTTTGTTTTTTGTCTTGTTTTATATTTTGTACGTTATTTGATTTTATGTCTTTAGTATTTTATTTCTTAATGGATAATGTTTTGTTTTTGTTTTGTTTAATTTTATGTTTATTTTATTTTAAATTTTATATTATTTTATATTTGGCTTGATTTAATTTTCTTTTCCTTTTAGGTGGAACAAACCAGTACCCACCCCCAGAGCTTACTGCAGAATGTGGGGGCCCAAACCGTGGGGACACTCTGCTGCAATCAGACATGCCTATCAAAAGGTAGGCTAAGGACAGGGCTGAGATTGACCCACAGCTCTGTCCCCAGGCGGGAGATGGTCTCCCTAAAGAAAGGTTATAGGAAATGCCAGTCCTTGACTTGACTCAAACTATGGCTGGAGTGCTTCTGGAGTTGACAGTTCTGATACACTTTGTTTTTTTCTTTTTTTTTAATGTTGAAAGTAATACTGGATCAACATAAAAAGTTCAAAGAATACATGAATATATGAGTATATAAAAGCAAAAAAAAAAAGAAAAATTTTCATTGTACCATATCAACCCAGACTCTAATTCCATGTCCCAGAGGTAAAATTGATAGTGCTAAACATATCATTCTGATGTTTATCCAGACATGCCTGCAGACCTAAGAAAATAGTTAATGCAATAATGAAGTCATCAGGAAATGCCCTAACATAAAGATTATAAATCACAGCAATATCAAGTGAAAATTTTTATTTTTATTTTTTATGTATTTTTTTTTTTTTTTTTGAGACAGAGTCTCACTCTCCTGCCTGAGCTAGAGTGCCGTGGCGTCATCCTAGCTCACAGCAATCTCAAACTCCTGGGCTCAAGCGATCCTCCTGCCTCAGCCTCCTGGGTAGCTGGGACTACAGGCACGCACCACCATGCCCAGCTAATTTTCTCTATTTTTAGTTGTTTGGCCAATTTATTTCTATTTTTAATAGAGATGGGGTCTCGCTCTTGCTCAGGCTGATCTCGAACTTCTGAGCTCAAGCAATCCTCCTGCCTCGGCCTCCCAGAATGCTAGGATTACAGGCATGAGCCACCGTGCCTGGCCTCAAGTGAAAATTGAACCTCTTAGTTCTTGAGGTTTGGTTATGCGGTTTGACATGGATTATTTCTACACAGGTCACCCAACCGCCAGTTTGGTATGTCTGGCATTGCTGATGATTGGGAAGCACTTGAAGCAACAGACACTTTTCTAGAAGAGAAGAGAAAAGGCATGACAACATCTATAACTCTGCAAGAAGCACTTGAAAATTATGAAAATGATGAATATGACATTGAAAAAAATGAACAAGAAACACCAGCAAAACAAGAAGAAATTAGTAAAGAAATAAATTCAGGCACTGCCTATGGTAAAAACCAAACTCCGGCTTAAGTTGGATTCACTTTTTTCATCTTTATCTTTTTTAAAAAAAAAATTCATGTGCATTGTGTTAGTATGCATATTTTGGCTTTTTATAAACCTTGCTTACAAATCCACAAATTCATGTATGCTGCTACAGAAATAGTTTAAGAAGCAAACTTTTCACCTATCTGACAACCTGGAGCTGGAGGGAAGCTATTTCAGGGCGTATGATTGAGGTGCACCCTATGAAGTGTCTGCACTACATTTGCAAAGGAGTAAATGATTTATTGCAAAAGTGGTGAACACACTGCTGGCCTTGAAATGCACCCACTTGTAGATGGGCTCTTTCATCTTTGAGTGACTGCATGCGTTCTGACCAAGTTTCAGGAACATCTTGGATACACCTAAAACTGCTATAGCACCAGTTTTGGATTACAGCATGCAGTAAAGCAAATGACAAGTTACTTCTCTTACGTGATCAACAAATTAAGCAGAACACTAAACACATTAGAAAGAGATATGGGAAACTTGACTGTGAAGTTTTCAAAAGTGATCCAAGACAGTTGAAAGAGTTTCCAGTGAGTGGTGTGGTTAGTCCTGGTTAGATTCAATGAGAAATAATTTGTCAGAGCTTTTGAATGTGCCTAGATAATTCTCCATCTGGGGCTGCTAGCTAGGTGGCCATGGGAGTTATTTAGCCTCTCTGTGGCTCAGTTTTCTGTAAGGTGGGGATTATATGAGTACCTACCTCATAGGATTGTTTTGTGAATAAAACTAATTCATGTGTTCACCACGTGGTAAGCATCCAAATCAGGTTAGCTGTTCAGACACTGATGATGTGTGCTACCTTTTAGATTCCAAAACAACCACATATCCAAAAGAAATAAAACCAGCCAGACATAGGAATAGCCACTCCCAGTTACTGTCCCAGGGACAGTAACATTTCACTTCCTCAGGCTAAAAATTAATCATAGAAGAATTTACCTTGGTGATTACTATGTCTTCGGTATAGAATATCCTCAGGTAATCTTACTAAGGCAGTGATTTTCAGTCTTGACTATACATTAGAATCACCTGGGAATCTATAACGATTTACTCCAGCCCAATTCAACCAGAATCTCTGGGTGCGGGACTTATCCAGTGATTCCATTGAACAACCAAAAGTGAGAACTACTGCTCTAAGGCATCTTTTCCCATAACTTCAAGGTGACCACTGCCTTCCTCATCGAACCCTCTCTTCGCTTGGAGACAACACTCATCTTGTTCTACTTCTGACCAGTCCATCTCTGTGGGCTCCTCTCCCCAGGTGCATCCTCACAGGAGGATTCAGGTTTTATGGAGTTTATATCATTTGGGGAGCCCTCTCCAAGAAAAAATCACAAAATTATTAACATTAAGTAAAAAGTGAATGTTTATTTAGAAAAGCCTGATGCAAATTAGGGGCCCTGTAGCCTAGGCTTCATTAATTTCATGATAAATCTGCCAAACCCTTCTCCAAGACCCTTTCTTCAGTCCTCTGAACACTACGCTCACTACTTGGGCAAGCTTTTCTGCCACGAAATCAACTATCCCCCCTGTATGATGACTCTCAAATCTGTATCTTCCACCTTGAACTCTCTCCTGTGCTGCAGACCAGTGTACCAACTTCCGTCCAGGTTGCTCCATTGGACTTGCCTGTAGTCTTATCAGACAAACTCAGTTTAACAAACCCAACTCATTGTCTTTCCTGCTCAAATCTTCTCCTCTCCTTTACCAGCTATGTTTATTGGAATGAACCACCACTGGCCCAGGAATGGAAGGCCAAAACCTAACATTATTCTATTAAATAATTGTCCTTTTTTCCCTTACCTCCTGCTCTCTAACTGGTCTCATTTCTTCCAATTTGTCCTCCTTCTAATTCCATTCTGAACATCAAATTGATTTTTCTAAAATGCAAATATGGTCATATAATTTCTCTTCTTCTATGGTTCTATTGTTTGTAAGATAATGTTCCGGTGCCTGTGCAAGGCACACAGGCCTCCATAATTAGAGGCCTGCTTTGGTTCTCTGGGGCCTTACTGGCTGCCACTGCCCTACATAACCTTTTGTGCTATTTGCACTTGCCCCTTCTGCCCTGCTATTTATTCTAAGTCTCCATATGTCCCTCACCCTCACCTGCCTGTCTATGTCCCCTCCACAGTGTCCACTTGGACTATAGCTACTCATCTTTTACTACTCAGCTCAAGTTTTACCTCTCTTTAGAGTCTCTTCTGTGGCCCTAAGTAGTATGAAATTTTCATGGCCTCCTTTGTGCTCCCATATCTTAAGCCTAATTCTACCATAGCACCTGCTACCTTTTATTGTACTTACTAGAGAAGAATTAAATGAGCGCTATCTCTCTTCACAGAAGCCAGGCTGATCTTGGTATATTTTCAATTTCAATGTCATCTTCAAAGAACATAGAACTATTTTTTGGTTTTCCCCTCTAAGTAGGGCTATATTATAAGACACGTATAGTAGGAGATAGAACAAGCCTAGGAAAAATTCTAACTTTATTGTAGCTACTCTTCATACCTGTCTAACTCTTTTCTTTTCCTCTACCTTTTCCTTTCTTCATTTCTGGATTCCATGAACTTGTTTGAGTAAAATTATGCCTGCCACTGCATGATTCTTCCAAGAAGGCAAAGGTTAATATTCATGGTAAAAATAATGCCAAATATAAAATTGGGGGCTGGCAATAATTGCTTGGGTAAAAACTTAATGGCCCTCAATGCTATGTCATACTGGTAAAAGAAAAATTAAGACTATGAAGTATACTGAGTGTTAAGCTTCAAAGAATAACTTAGAGATAATTAGTTTAAAGCATTAAGGACTCACTCACATAGAGCTGTACTAATGTGGTAACCACTGGCCACATTGACTATTTACATTTAAATGCAAATAATTTGAAATTAAATAAAATTAAAGCTTCAATTCCTTGGTTGCACTAGCCACATTTCAAATGCTCAGCAGCCACGTGAGCTGGTGGCTACTGTATTGGACAACACAGATTTTCCCATCATTTCCAACAATTCCATCAACGTAGACAGTGCTGTTCTAGATGTTGAATCTAGGAAAAGCAGCCCCTGTTTGATTGCCTCCCAGACCCAAAGCAAGGGTAGGGGCTCCAGAGACCACAAAGTGTAACTAGGAAAAGTGATCGATAGGTCTAAACAAGTTCTTGGTTTGTCGGTTCAGAATCGGTTGGTAATGGCAAAGGTTGGTGCCAGCCGATTACTGAACCCTGAGTCTGCATGTTGCATCTAGAGGGTACAGCCTGAAGTTCACCACTGGAATGTTTTTCCATTGATTCTGACAAGTTTTTGAAGAAGTGTTTGCTCTTTCTTCTCCTGGGCCCACCCTGCTGGTTATCTTACACCTCCAGCATAGGGATCACACAGCGGGCAAATTCAAATGTGCCTGCTCAAGGCATAGGACAATTTCCATGATCAATTCCTTACCCCACTAAGAGTGTACCTCATCTCCATGGGTCCAGCACATCAGGTCACTTCTAAAAAACTGGTTATACTATTGGGAAGTTAGTAGGTAGCTTCCCAGGAACAGATCATGAATTTTAACTCTTGCTTTCTGAAGACAGTATCTTCTTTATTTAGGGGTACTTGGAAGGCCCAGGAAGAACTATTTGGAGGATGCCAGCATTCTGTGTTTCAGGGCTGACCTGGGACAAGAATACTTCTATGTGATACAAAATGTGCCCAAGGAAATCTGCTCTACCTAGAAGACAGGGATTAGCCACCTGGGAAAATCAAAGCATAATTTAAAATTCAGGGAATCCTATATCTTACTTTGTTGTAATTTGTTGATTCCCAATGCTGTTTTTTTTCCCCTCAGGGACATCATGTATTTTTTTTGTTTGTTTTTTATTAGATGTCTTTACTTCTTGGGCAAGAGTCAGGATATTATGTATTAATATAATAAATAAGCTGGATTTGCTGAGGTCATTGGAAGGCTGGACAGGCTTGAGATTAGGAAAAGGATTGAGATACTTTGAAAAAAAGAGGGAAAAAAGCATAGTAAGCAAGTGAGCAGTGTGCAGTAACAGAAATCTTCATTCATTCATTCATTCACTCATTAATACACTGGGCATATCTGCCATATGCCAGGTACTTCGCAAAATAATAGCTGTAACTATATTTTACTTTTCACATATGCTATGTGACATCATACAACACATTTGTGATGTAGTGTATTTTTTTTAAATATTGCTTTTATAATTGAGGAAATTGAGGCTCATAGAGGTTAAATTACTTGCTGAAAGTCACACAGCCAGTTGGTGGTGAGGCTGAGATTTGATCCCCGGTCTGCGACTCCAAACCATGTTCTTTTCCTGTCATGCTCACCCAGGAACTCCAGCTCTCTCTGTGTTCATTTTGTTGCAGGTCCTTGTTCCATGGATCCAATGGAAGGCGAGTGCCAGGATTACACCCTGAAGTGGTACTACGACAAGGAAGAGCGGGCTTGCCAACAGTTCTGGTACGGCAGCTGTGGGGGCAATGCCAACCGCTTTGAAACCAGGGAAGAATGTGAGGCTCAGTGTGACCCAACACCCCTACAGAGTTAGGCAGAGCCTCGTTACTGTGGCTCCTCTTATACTAGCTTATGAAACTGAGATTGCCTTTGCCGAGGCAGGGCCACACAGCTCCTAAGTGACAGAGCCCACTCCACAGCCTTAGACATCAGATTCCTAACCCCCTGATTTTCTCCTGCCAGCAAGGGCTTGGGCCTGGATTATTTGTGACTTGAGGACTGAATTCTAATAGTTATGAAAAGTAACCAAAACTTTCCTCAAACTTATTTAAATGAATTAGAACTGAATGAAAAAGAAACTTGAACTTGATCTATAACATTACTTTAAAATTTTGGGGTGCTACATAGCAAAAGAAAGATCAATGTAAGCAGTGAGCAAAACCTAATTCAGAAATGAATTAAAACTTGGTTTGTTTTTTCCACCAGAGAATAGGGGAAGTATTAGTCAAAGAGAGGGCCCAGAAAAGGGACATCTAATGTGAACTTCTTCCTTTTTACCTAATGCAGGTACTTAAATAAAGATATTCTTTATTAAATCCTTTGGTGTGAGACTGGGTGATTCCTGCTCATTGTAGTCTGTGCTATACTTCGTGACACAGCAGTAACAGACGACAATGACTTTTCCATGGGACCAATCCTTTGGCGTAAATTATAGTGAATTCTGTCCTTCAAAACATGGTGATTCAACAGTTAAGGCTACCATTGTCAATGCAAAGATGCAGCGAAAGGTTTAGATTCACCGTGGAAGAAACATTTTGTGATATAGATATTGAGTACAATATGTTTTTTGCAAGGTCTTCCTCTGCCTCATGGCTTGATTCTCTAGGCCTGTGACCTTGGGCCCATTTCCAGGAAGAATTGGGAACCATGTGGAGGGAGCTGTGGGGTATCGAAGATACCTGGCTCGAGACTTCTGTGAGATCATGTATTAGTCAGCTGGGGCTGCCGTAACAAAATACCATGGACTGGGTGGCTAAACAGAGATTTATTCCTCACAGTTCTGGAGGCTGGAAGTTTAAGATCAAAGTGCTGAGGGCTCTTTTCCTGGCTTGTAGATAACTATCTTCTCTCTCTGCATATGGCCTTTTCTTAGAGCACACATGCTCATGGGGTAGGGGAAAGAAAGAGAGAGCGAGAAAGAGAGAACACTCTGGCAAGTTCCTGGTTCTGTAACTGTGGTTTCCACAATCTGTGTGTTCTACCACACAGTCTGATGACACAGCAGGAGGGATGGAACCAGCTTTATACAAAATGTTCAAAGAAACATTAAATTTTTTATTCTATTTTTATGACAATTTTTATATTAGCATAAAAGGATGACTATGTGTTCATGGTAGCAAATATGTAAGACACAGAAATGCACATGAAAAAAATAATGACTATCTTTTCTTCCAAAGGTATCCATTTTGGTATAATCCAAGTTTTTCCCTAATGCTTGGATATACTGTCCTTTTTTTCTTCCTTTACATATTACATGTAACTCATTTTTAATGGAAATAAAATGGAAGATCCTCCATCTTGCTTGGCAGAGCTGCTCATTTTACAGGTTGTGTATGCATTTCTCTCTTAGGTATAACCTCAGCCGGCTGGGCATAAAGGGGCCAAACTCATCTATCCTGAGGATGGTATTTGATTTGGGTTGTGATATACTTTCCACTTGTTACTCCCACCTTTACCTCCCTTTGTCCAGGAGTTGGGAACTCCAAGGCAAAAATACAATAATAAGAGGACTGCTAAAATTGGTTGTTGGTGTTTGTTCCCATCCTGGGAACATCTGTGAGGTCCAACTGCTGTTCTCCCCAGGTTTACTAGGTGGCAGTATAACCATTCCATGGAGTTCCCCTGACTCCCAGCAAAACCTTATTCCATAAATCCTGAGGTACAGAGGAAATAAAGTCAAGGGGCAGAAGTTTACAAACTAGTAGCAGGATGAGGATCCCAGAAATAGTAACATAATAAATAATTTAGTGTGTTAGAAGGTGCAAGTGCTATGGAATAAAAATGAAAGTATAGCAGGCAAAGGGTACCTAGTATGCTGGGGGGAGGTTTGGGCAAGTTTCAATATTAAAAAGGTGGCCAGGGCATGCCAATGATGAGTTGATATTTGAGCAAAGACTTGAAAGAGACAAGCGAAGGGCTTGCCCTTGAAGGGCTAAGTAGATATGTGGGGCAAGGTCATTCCAGGCAGAGGCAACAGCTAGCACTAAGGCTCTAAGGTGGAAATGTACCTGGTTTGTTTTAGGAACAGCGATGATGGTGACAGTATGCATAAAGTGATGTGACCAAGAAGACGAGTAGAATAAATGAAGTCAAGAGGAAATGGGGAGGACAGTCATATCACATATGGCCTTATAGGGGATAATGTTACCTATCTGTTGCTGAGTTATCTGTTACTATGTAGCAAATTATCTTAAACTTTATGGCTTAAGTCAATGAAAGCATCTATTTTGTTAACCAATCTGCAGTTTGGACAGGGCTCAGTGGGCGAGTTCATCTCTGCTTCTCTTGGCATCAGTGGTGTGGCTTGATGGCTGGGGCTGGTGTTATCTCTAAGCCTTCCTCACATGTCTGGTGGTTGATGTTAGCTGGGACCCCAGCTAGGGCTCTGGGCAGATCACCTACATGAAGATTTTCCATGTGGTCTGGTCTTCCTCACAATATGATGGCTGAGTTCCATGAGCATCTAGAGCAGGGGTGGAGAATCTTTTCATGGTGGAAGGCTGTATTAATTTAGCTGTAATCAAATAAGGCCACATTCAAGAAATATCAATTAGATATATGTAAAAATGCACATTATTTTGTAAAAATCTATTATGTACTTAACAATTTCAAAAAATGAAAACTATTACTTTTAAAATTACCTAACCTTTTAATGACTTTCTTGTGTCTGCTTGTTGTTGGAAAGTATTTGAATATTTTGGTTGCAGTGTGGAGGTCTACAGTTTCAGCTGATCCACTAGATGGTATCAGCCATTTGTGACCTCAAGGGCATCTTGATTTTGATTAGGTAGGAGAACGTAGATTCAGAGCAATAAGTGGTTGAAAAGCAAGAAAGCATTTTTCAGGCATGTTGCCAAAGGTGTGGGTATTCTACTGCATTTTTACATATTTCAATCAGATCTTTCTTAGCATCAAACAATGATTTGGTTAATAAAATGTCATCTGATGAGAGTTCAATGAATTCCAGGTGATTCCTCACCTGATATCAACCAGGTGAGGCTGAAATGCTAATTTGAGTGTAATGTCATGATTCTCAAAGTCAGTGAACCTTTCCTTGTATTTTCCTATAACAGCTGCATATTTTTCAGATGATTCACATATATCATCCTGATATATCATCAATGACCTTTGCTAACTGGGGAAAATGTTCACCTGAAATTTGCTTTTGAAGAAGGAGTGTTTTGAAAAAAGATAGCTTTTTTAAAACTGCTTGTATTTTTTTTGCACATATCATATATAGACTCAGTTTTACTTTGCAAGGAAATATTGAAGTGGTTTTGATTTGACATGATATAACACAGAAATGTTGCATTCTAATAGAAATCCTCTTTCAATAATTCACATTGCTGATTTTGTTCTTCATAAAATTTTACTATCTGTTCTCACAGACATAAAATTTTGGCTAACACCTGTCCCTATGAGAGTCAATGCACTTTAGAATGATACACTGCAAATCTACACTGGACACCTCATCTTCAACTTTAGCATGTTATGAAACTGATGATCCTGTGTTGCATTTGCATGAATATAGTAACAATACTTATAACTTGTTACAAAGTGTCACTTAAAATAGTAGCTTTAGCACAGAGATTTTGCTGATGCAAGATACAATGAAAAGAAATGAGAGCATCTGGATCTGTTAATACTTTTTTTTTTTATTTCAGCATATTATGGGGGTACAGATGTTTAGGTTACGTATGTTGCCCTTGCCCCCCCCCCAAGTCCGAGTTTCAAATATGTCCATCCTTCGGGTGGTGCACATTGCACTCTTTGTGTATGCAAATACCCGTCCCTTCCTCCTTCTTCCCCCCTCCCCCCTCCCCCTGCCCAACATCCAATAGATGTTATTCTTATATGTGCATTTATGTGTTGATCAGTTAATACCAGTTTGATGGTGAGTACATGTGGGAAGACAAGCACCACATGTTAATACTTTTTTAAATCTGTGCCATAGACCCTTTAAGTTTTCCTGTCATGGGAGGTGCACCATCTGTACATACACTCACTAAATTTACCAAATTCAGTCCAACTTCATGACATTTATCTTGAAGGTTGTTGAAGATATCTATTCTCTGTGTTCTGCTCCCAAGAGTACCCAAAATAACTCTTTGTAGCAAAGTAAATCTTCTGCTCTGACGTGAATGAAGTATTACGTAAAACCTGCACTAAGTCAGTAGTATCAGTTGATTCATCCAAAACAATTGAATAATATATATTTCCCTTTTGAAGTATTGCATGAAGTTGTTCTGTTAAGTTGAAGGCGAATTCATGCTGCTGATCTGTCATGGTTCTCTTTGAAAGAGGCAACTGTTTGTACTTTGAAATGTCATCAGGGTCTAAGCATCCTACAACTTCGACAATGCATTCTTTCACAATTTCTACATCCCTGAATGGCTTTCCTTTTTCCCAAGTATATAAGCTACTTTATAAGTTGCTTCAGTGGGATTATTTCCAGGTCTCAATGCTGCTTGAAAGAATTGTCTTTGCTTTTTCTTTTCATCTTTTAATTTCTACAATACAACCTTTTGCACCTCTCCCTTGAATTTAATATATTTGTGGTCCTTATGAGTGTTACAATGCTGATGAGCACTGACTTTCTTTAACACTGATATTGCAGTATCACAAAGCAAGCAGATCATCTTATCTCTAGCAGAAACAAGATAATATTGAAATTCCCAATCCTCATTAAAAAATCTATTTTCTTCCTTCAGTGTTCTCTTGGTCTTCTTTGACATCATGGGCTGTTAAGCAGACAGGATGGTGCAACTATTCACAAATTCCACTTCAAACAGAACCATAGTGCACCATTGTCAA